AAACTAGATTGTTATGGATTCTCAAAAAAAAATGAATTAGAAATGATTAGACATAAATTTGTAATACTTAAGCCTACAAAACACATGTTATTATTTTTCATGTTACCTCGCATGCAATCTTGTAAATTACTACAAATACCGCATGCTACATTTTCCAGTAATTTACTAGATCGCGTGCGAGTTAACGAAAAATAACGCTACGTGCGGTAAACTTTAATCATTAAGGACAGCTAAGTTACAAACAATCTGAATTAATGCTGTACTAAGCAATTTTGCTAATTTGCTTAAAAAAACGGGGAACATTCACGTTCATTATTGCAGGTACGATCAATCGCAGCACGCTAAAATCGAAGGACAAGCAGAAAGTGGACAGAACTGTTTCCACGGAATCGCTGGCCACCAAATCACGGGTCATAGGCTCCAAACCAGAATTGAGCAGATCTACATCCGTGCCCCGTGATCCGAACAAGAGCGCGGGATGGTTCAAACTAAAGAGCAAAAAGTCCCGCGCCTGAATTGGACGGCCATTGATAAATGCTAGTCTCGAGTTTCATAAGTGTAATTCGTAATTTCGTAGACGATTAATTGGCGTCGATATCCGACGCGCGCTAATTAATAACGACGCGACTTATTGATAATATACACTGTTCCCATACATCTTTTAACATGCACGTCGTGCGAGTGCCGATTGCGATCGCGCGAGTTTTTAATTTTCTTTCTTTAACCGAATAGCATATAATTGCGGTAACGACGTGTAAATCAATTGCTGTCAACACGTTGATCGATTTCGCGAATTTATGGGATTTCGCCTAAAAGACACAAAGTTTTAATTCCCGTATAAATAAATATCTACATCTATACGTAACACAGAATAAAACAGAATAAAACATCCAAATACACGTAGGCACACGCAAAGAAGCTTCGAACCGCAGTTGCTCGTTAAATTAATATTGTTATATTCTTCGCGTATTAAATAATGCTCTTTGTAATCAGAAAGATTGCAAAAAAAAAAGATATGGTTAAATGTAAACTCTTGAACTATAAGTTTAAATGTGAGTTGTGTATTTTAAAATGAGAATTTTCTCAATATATTGGACATATTGCATTATTTTAATAGCCTTCTCTCTGCCAAATTTAACGGATTAAATTTGTTGCGAATGATGAGAATGCGTTTACAACATATTCGCATATATCGTATAATTAACAATTTCATTGTGTTAACTTTTGTTTCTCCTTCGGGACTTGACAAAAAGTGCATTTGTCATTTGACTTTTCATAGTTTCATGTAACTAAATTCATATGCGTTACGTGTCTCACAAAAAATTAACGCGTCACTTTATTCTACCGTGAATCAAAGTGCCATCGTCATTTTTCTACATTCCCACAGTATACCTTTCGTTAACGAATCAAAATTCTCGAATACATATTTTTTAACGAACGAATATTTTACGAACGAATATTTTAAATGTTAATGTAATAAAGATGAAGAAAAAATATTTTCTAAATTTTATCTCGACAATCGAGAGACTTGTAAAACTGACAGTTATGTATAGCAATATTATTGGACATTTCTCTGTGCATAGATCAATTTCATCTGTGCATGCTTATTGTATGTAAATACTTGTGTTAATAATCATAATTTTTAATCGATTTTAATAGGGCCTATGTGTTTTTATATAAATACACAATTCTTGTCTCTGTACATTCGTGGATCACAGATTACACATACACTGTTGCGAAATTTTCACGTTTGACAGGCCGTGAGACGCTTTCACGTTTAATAACAGTGTAGAGGAATAAAAACACGCGATGCTAGACATTATCCATTGTACTGTGATACGCTTTTTGCGTGGACAAAGAAACAAATTACTTACGACGACATAAATAGTCATCTTGCACTACAATTACTACTTCATTCCTACCCGGTGCTAGCTACGAGTGTGTGTGTACATATGGATCATTAAATGCTATGCATGTAAATATCATGAATATATTGACGATATTGTACGGAATTACGAATAAAACCTATTACCTTATTAACACAGCCATTACTCCTCTTTGTAAAAATAAGATTTCGTGTTAAATGTGAAAACCGAGAACAAATTATAACAAGATTAATAAATTCAATAAAATGACAATTAGTATACAATTTAATAATAAAATATATTTATATATTCAACAAGAGAGAGCACAATCAAGTTAATATTGTGAATTTATGTTTGAAAGGATTTCATATATATGTTGATCATTGTGTACTTACTATTAAACAGGATGAATGTGGATTAATCAGCAGGTAATGGAATAGGAAAAGGAAGAGAGCGATGCATGTTTAATGATTGTTGTCTTAAACACATAAATCACATTTCCACAGTTTTGTTCAATTTGTCCCAGCAGCACAACGTTGTTCCACATAGCACAAGAATCATACCCAAATAGGTATCTGAAGAGTAAAGCAGATTATAAAGCAATTATATTATTGCATCTTTTTAAAATAAGAAGATAATCTTGTGTATGCTCACTTCTATGTACTTTTTCTTCACCCAGGAACCAGCCAGTAATTGCAGTAAATACAAAGGTAAGAGAATTCGAGACTGGTAAAGCCAGAGATATATCAGTGTTCTGTAGAGTTAGGAAATACAGCACCGATCCACACTGATTGAGAATAAATGGCAGGACATACTATATAAAAAAGAAATAAATTATGTTCTTGCTTTTATTATATAGAATCATTAATTTAATAAAATCTATATACAGCAAACCTTTAGATTAGTGATAAGAAATGCAATCTCCTTGATAAATTGTCCATAAAATGATGCAGCTTTGACATGTTCTATGCCTTGTGCACCTTTCTTCATAAATGGATTAGTTGCACCCCAAAGAATAGCCACGAAACATAAATATATCACAGAATCTGCAATATAAAACATACATTAATATTGTATAATATTAAACAGAATAAAATAACTTAATCTCTATTTTTTTTTTTTATCTAAAACTGAAGTTTATAGCAAATTTGATCATCCCGTTTATATTGGATTAATGTGCATTAAAGACTGTTATATACATCTAAATGCCATAATATATAGCTTCTTTATACACACACACACACACACACACACACGTACACACACACGTACACTCACCACATATACACACGCGCGCGCGCACCACATACACACACACACACACACACACACACACACACACACACACTACCAACTAAATATACGCAAAATTATTGTTGAGCAATTTCATAATTGTTTAAAATACTTACATATTTTTACATTTTTATAATTTTTTATATACAGATTTTTAATAGAACGGATGATCAAATTTGTTATTAATTTTCAACAAATAAATTAAAAATATCAAGAATAACACAGCTCACCAATGGTAACTGCCATTTTCGTCGGTTATCAAGCGTTGAATAGGAAACGCACTGAAAGACACGTAATGCAAATCGCGTCACAAAAATTATTTAAGTAATTCGGCATGAACTCGACACGAACTCGATCGAGATGCATCGTTAGCAATCGTTGAGTCACATCTAATACCATTTGACATATAGATCAGGTTAGGTTAAAAACGCGTTCATACAGAACCGTGACCGATCTGACAATATGATTGATTTTGAAGACGCGATTAGTAATATTATATAATTGGGATTACGCATAACTTTTAATACAATATCCGGCACTTAACAAGACAGACAATTTTTCATCGTGAGATTTCCGATCAGGCAGCGACTAGAAGGAACTTCAAACGAGGTAGCGACGCCATGACAGATCACGATATCGACTCGATATCGAAGAGCGAAATTGCGATTCTCGAAGTTTGGAAAAGGTTGAAAGAAAAAAAATTCACCGATTGAAATGGCGAAAACGTTACAAAAAAGATTGGTGCAAAATACAAAAAGGACAAGGACATGTGCAAAATTCTCACCTGCATGTTCTTCTTGCACTATGGATGTATTTTCGTAGAATAATGTGAATGATGCGAAAGAGAGTCTCGATCTTTCGATTCCAAAAGCAGATCATCCGGAATACTGCAAAGTCGACGATAATGCGCGATATTCAATACATCACGAATAATTGATATTTTGTTAAAGCCGCTCGCAATAATATTTCGGTAACGATTTTTTTTTAATGGTTACACTATCACGAAATATTTGAATTCGAACACGATCCTCCGATCGCCATAACGCGTTAATGACTCACCATGATTCAAACAACTATACAAAGAGTGATAAACGACTCGTAATTCGTATAATGTTATGTTTCTCCAGTGAGCCGATTGGCGGATACGTTCAGACCAATGAGATACTAGGTTTTTCTATTCCTATATTGAACTGCATTGAAATTTTATTTTACTGTTAAATTTCAAATATATAATTTATTTTATTTTAAGTACGAGCGTATAGTTCAACTATAAAAAAATAGACAAACTATTAAGATTTTTATTCTGTAATTTTTAAATATTATTAAAAAAATTTTTCTATAAATGTAAAATACCCAAATACTCCCGCACATTCGTTTTTCTTGAATAATTAAAAAGTAATTTATTTTTAATTTTATTAAAATTTTTGATAACTTATTCATAAAACAAAACTAATAACAAAATTTTGTTGTTATGAATAACAATTGTGTCGTCAATGAGTGGATAATATATTACTATTTTTCGCTATAAACAACATTGTTGAAGATTACAAAATAAAACTCTAATCACATTAGTGCTTCGGATTAAATGTCTAAATAATAAATTCTCTGCTTAATTAATATAATTTATATGTTTAAATGTAACGTTGGTTTTAGAAGATTATCAAAATTTCAGGATTCAGGAATTAATCAAATTCCTTGAAAAAATACTGAATATTGATACTTTCTAAAATTACTATATCATTTATTAAGCTAAAAGACTTTCGATAAATTAGAAAGAAACAATTTAATAAATTAAATTTAAATTAAAATATTAATTATAATAAAATTATAATAAATTATTAATTCACCGATAAATGCTCAATAGTTTCTAGCTGCTCCAGTTCAATCTTCTTTAAAGAATCATACTCTACTCGTAATCGTTCCAATTCCACAGACTTTTCCAAAATCAATGCCTACAAGAATAGATTAGTAGTATAAATTTTAGAGTAGCTTCGACCAAATTTGGTATTAATTAAATTTTAGTAGAATTGTTTAAAGTCCATTTTCGATATATACATTTCATTTTAAGATCGTATTTGACATAATTTAAATATTTTGAAATATTATACTAGATTTTGAATAGATTAATTATCTAAGTATCAATAAATATTATTAAGCTTTCATTTTACTTTAAAATTGTTTATAAACACATTTAAAAATAACAAATTTTCACAACTGTTTAGTACCACTCAAATAATTAATGTAAATTGCCAATAAATTTTCAACGATTATTTTAAAACCTGCATTTGCTGTTTCTGTGCTTCTCTTTGCTTCGATACAGAACGCAATAGATTCCGTGCACCGATCGTCCTCATTTTCTCTCTTTCTACTTCCTTCGCTAAACTGTCTAATATCCTGATAAATCCATCAGAACTTTTTTCAAATTCAGTAATCTCTGCAATATAAAAATTCTAAATCACTACAATGTTTTATCATTCTTTTTGATATCTCTGAAGCAGGGTAGCGGCATAATTTGACGATAAAACAATGAGATAATTTTTTTAAACAAAGATTTAGAAGGAAATATCAGGCCTTGATATCAAATTGTTTATTTTGTATCGTAATTTTATTTACATTTATTTCTCATTATTTCACATTTAAATTATATTCTTATCACTCAAGAATAGAATTAATCATAATAATAATAGTGTAATAATAGCATTCATAATCAACATTGATTAAAATTTCTGCTAATTTATTAATTACTTGAATCATAATATTAGAAGCAAGAAAATAATATTTGTTAAAAATAATTAAATATATTTAAAAGAAATAATTGTTATAAAATTGTGTATTATATTGTACCTAATCAAGAATAAAGCCACAATTTAATTCTAAATAGATGATTATTGATTACCAGAGCAAATGAGATTTTGATGTATTTTACAGGTCTGGTCTATTAATTATAATCGTTATTTTATAAAAAAAATATTTCTACTTTAACATATTTTAACTCATGTGTTTTGTAGCGTCTAAAATAATAATTCAAGATATCTTCAATAAACTTCGACTTCCAAATACCTATCTCAATCGATAAGTAAATCAAGTAATACCTATACCGTTCTGTTTATATAAAATCAATTTTTTGTATAAATAGTATCAATATAGTAATAATATAGTAATAGTATTTCGTTTACATATGAAAAAAGATAAAAATTTAAGAACATTGAAGAGTATTCTGTTGATTAAATTAATGAGAATTCGATCGTTTTAATTGCGTGCAGACGTGTGATTTTTTTGTGCAAGAATTTATTAAGGAGACGGTGCGCACGTGGTGATGTGAATCGTGCGATGAGTGAAAATGTCAAGTGACTGACGAGCAACCGGTTAAATAAATTTGCCATGTCGTTCGTCGTGACGCCACTCCTAAATCAACATCACTTACTGGACACGAAACTCTGACACTCATCTTTCAGTTTGTTCGTTTGATTAGCCGCTTCCGGCTCTAAAACACGTATTTTGCTCAAATCATCGATATAAACACCGTACTTTGTCAATGAGTCGGCCATTTTCTCTGATCCTTTCGAGTCTGCGAGGAGCAAGATCACGTGACTGCGTCTCGGTTTACATTGGTGACTGCGATTGGTTAAAAATCCATCTGCCATCCAGAATCGAAGCCCTGCGCACAATGGAGAAAATTCTTAGGAATAATAAAAATAAATATTCAATTTTGGAAATTAAAATTCGGAATAAAGATTAAACGTAACGTATATAAGTATGTGTAATGGCCATAAGTAAATATAAAAAAAAATATATATATATATATCTTATAGTTTAATCTTTATTCTCAATTTTGACAAATAAGCAGTATAGCTCTCTCAAAATCTTTGATTTTCTCGTAATTTTTATTTGAACTTGAATCTACATTAAAAAAATGAAAAAAGTGTAAATTTTGAATTACAAACTATTTTCTCTACTACAATTTAAATTATATTATATTATGATTTTATTTTCAAAATTTAATATTTATTCCTGTTCGTAAAATTTCCTTCATTGTGCGCAGGACCAAACAATCGACTTGTCTAACAACGATTCTTGGCATTTTCGTACACCGCGGTCGAGATTCCGCCGCCACATTCAGCGCGTTCCTCGTCGAGTTTATCAATCCTCGAGTTCGCCGTTAAGTTCGCCGCGATTGATGCAGCCTGATGACGAATAAGGAAAGATGGAACAAAACGGAGATATATTAGGATACGTGGCTTCCACGTTTTCCGAATATCAACGGATGTAAGCGAGCGGACGCATGTCGACGCGACGCTGAATACGTCGCACGCGATCACGCTGCACGTCATCGTCACGTCCCTTCGACGCAAACGCGAACGTCCTTAGATATCCGTCGCACGTTCGACCTGATCTCCGACGTCCGGGAAATCGATACACTTTCCGCGCCTCGTTCCGTGGCGCGTCGCGCCAGTACTCGCCTCGGCATCGCCAGGTCCGGTTGACAGAGCATCGTTATGTCGGGCGAGCACAAGACGGTAATTAAATATCCATCGGAGTATGTCAAACTGAACATCGGGGGCTCCCTCCATTACACTACCATAGGTACCCTGCAGAAGCATGACACTATGCTACGTGCCATGTTCAGTGGTCGCATGGAGGTGTTGACCGACTCCGAAGGTGAGACGTGCATTTTCAGCAGTTGTTAATTGATCCTAAAATCTAGATAAATTTTCTTATGTGAGAAATGACTTAGCAAGGCGCATAAATTTAATTCATTTAACCATCGACAAAAAAATTGATAAGTTTTATTTTCCAAAAATGTTTAACGTTTAATAGATTAGTAATGTTGCATTTGTATATCTTTGACTTGAAGATTTCTATTTGCAGGCTGGATACTGATCGACCGGTGCGGCAAACACTTCGGGACGATCTTGAATTTTTTGCGAGATGGTTCAGTTCCATTGCCAGAGAATACAAAAGAAATGGCAGAGCTGCTCGCAGAGGCCAAGTACTATTGTATTAGCGAATTAGCTGAGTCCTGTGAACAGGCACTGCTTCGAAAGGAGCGTGAAGCAGAGCCAATCTGTAGAGTCCCTCTTATCACCTCCCAGAAGGAAGAACAATTACTTATAAGCAATACTACTAAGCCTGTGGTCAAGCTGCTCATTAATAGACATAATAATAAATATTCATATACAAGGTGATATTAAATGCAACTTGTCAATCGTGAATATTTTGATACTTCATCATGAGTCTTTTCATTTTTTGTAAATATAAATTAGTAATATAAACATTTGAAATAAGCATTAATATACAAGTAACTTGAGGTTGAGAAACTAATATAAAAATATGCATTTGGTGTTTCATGTAATTTATAAACTAATATCCTAAATGCTTGATTAAAAATGATAATCAGTGAATGAATTGTCACAATATTGTCACACGATATAATCAATTGTACCTGAGTTACTATCATAGTTAAATTTATAGAGAATGAGTGAATGATATAAATTTAATCCTTGCAGTACGTCAGATGACAATCTACTAAAGAACATAGAATTATTTGACAAAATGTCACTTAGATTTAGTGGCAGAGTTTTATTCATCAAAGATGTTATCGGCTCCAGTGAGATTTGCTGCTGGACATTCTATGGACATGGCCGTAAGGTAGCCGAAGTTTGCTGCCACTCGATCGTTTACACAACCGATAAGAAGCATACAAAGGTAACATCCAATAACGTGACATTTTAAAAGTATGTAATGGAAAATGCTTTCCTCTGTTCAGGTTGAATTTCCCGAAGCTCGAATATATGAAGAAACATTGAATATTCTGTTGTACGAGCATCGGAATGGCCCGGATCAAGAGTTAATGCAGGCTACATCATCGCGTGGCGTAGTACCTTGTACGTCTGACGAAGAGGAGGGTGAGCGTTCAGGCTTGGCTCGCCTTCGCTCCAACAAACAGAACACCAACTGACCCAGTCTTGTCCTCCTCAATCCACCGCATACCGCGATCCTCAGTGTCGTTCGCTCTTTCAAGACACGGATCAATATAAAATAAAACAAAGGACAGATATATATCAAGCACTTCATAATACTTGATATTCAGTTTGTCAGCTGAATCTCTTTCTCTCTTTTGTTTTGGAATGCGTGGAACACGAGGAAAGCTGCAATTTTGTTTGGACGATAAGCTAGCTCGATATTTTCACATCACATTTTATTTTCGAATATATCGCGCTTATTATTGAAATTATATTTGAAAGAAAAATGCGTCATTCTGATTAACGGAATGACAGATTTGTGAGTCTTGAATTTTCTTTGCCATTCTTGCTACAAGCGTGTTTACAAATGTATATAAATGTGCGATTAAGAATGGCATCTTATCGATTTCATCCTGAAAATCATGAAAAGAATGTAGCGCCATGCGCTCGTTGATTTATGTGCCAAATTCGCGACAGAATAAATACAAGTTGTCATTCTGTGACTGATAAAATTATTTATAAATTTATACTCTATGACAACTTTTAAGCAGTCATTTAGATTAATTAACTAAACTGTTATAAAAAATTAATGTGCAAACTAGGATGGCACTGTTACCTGTTGTATTATTATTTTATTATCTTTATCACTCTATCATTATTATCATTATTATTTTCATAATTATTACTGTTTATTATTCTTATGTTATCTATATCATTATGATCAAGTTTTTCCTTACAACATGCCTAATTTAATAGCTCAATAAATTCTTAAAACATATATGTTATTGTTACTTGTATTATTTACGAATGTATTTCTCCGGAATTCTCTACCGAACTGCTTAAAGGATGATGGAGTAAACACTGCCAATAAAATAAAATTAAAATAATATCGTTAGATATAGTTTTTGGCAATGAAGTATACGTTTAAACGTGTGAACTGTTGCTTCAATTGAATTGTAAGTTAAACATTTTTCAGGATTTTTTACTTGAACGAATGCAATACAATATCTTTTAAATAAACGAACTTATCTTGAATTTTTTACTAACATGTCATTCCAAATATATTCTTTTTACCATGTAATTATTGTAATTTATACATATTACTCGTTTTCTGTACTGATATACACTTTCACTTATATGACGCATCAGAGTAACAAATGAAATCAGAGTGTTTCCGGACATCAATGCGAGTAACCCGATATCTCGTAAGTATGTCAGAAACTACGGTTAGAAAACCACAGTTTTTTGTTTAATAATAAAATAGTAAATAGAGGTAAATTTGCTCAATTTTCTGAAGATGTTAGATAAGTGAAGGTGGAATGTAAAACAATTACAGGAC